ATGAGCAGCTTACCCTCAGAGCTGTCCCCGGCTCAGCACGGAGATCTGTGCTGGCGGGGCTTTGCTCTGCAGTGGTCTCCGTTACCCTTAGCCTGCTCTGAAGAGATATTGGCAACTTTTTGGCAGCGGTATGCGTTTTACGGTGGTTTTTAATGAACAGAGTACACTCCTTGAGAGCCTTGGAGGAAATGATTTCAGTAGCTTGGGGGAGGGAGCAGTGCATGTATGTGCCCATGTCTGGGTAAAACTGGTCCTCAGCAGCTTTTAGCTTTTACCTAATTTGAGAGTTTGAACTTTTCAGGAGATGCAAAGACATCTGACAGCTGGCTGACCTGTCTTACTGCCTTCCCTGGGCTGCTTAGTTGTATACAGATCCTGCATCAGAAATGAACTAGTGCAAGATAATACATGAGAATCCTCCCGAAAAAGTGACATTATCAGGATTCAAGGGACCCAGTAGTTTGAGAATGTCACGAATTTCATTTGCATTTTGTTTAGGTGTTTTAGCTTTGCACACGTGCAAGGAGAGCTCGTTTAGTCCTTGTGGGTTTGGAAGAAATTGAATTTGAAGGTCACAAACCTCAAGCAGAGCAGTATTCAAGTGAGAGAAGAAATGGGAGCATGTGATAGAGTTCTTAGGAACTGATTCTCAGCTCACTTTTCACTTCTCGGTCCCCTGCTGAATGCCTCTATTTCATTAAATGTTTCATTAAGGAGAGCTTAGCTGATAAACCTGGTAGCTTTCTGCAGCATACAGGCAGCGGGGAGAAATCCCTGTGACACCACGAGATTCCGGTGCTGGGTCTGGGCAGCTCTGCAGAAGGAAATGCCGAGATCAGGTGTTGGAACACTTGGCAGAGACAATCACATCACAGAGGGAAAGAAACAGAGGCTTTTTCAGCCACAGAATGTGAAGACCTCAGCTGATACTTTAAAGGGTGCCTGTGGCAGCTGGTCACAGCTTAGTGTGAGGCATCTTCACTGTCTGAATATTCCCACGGAGCTGGGGAAGCCAGCAGTAGGTGCTGCCAGGCACCGCGGAGAAGTGCAGTGCGCATGGGCTCGCTGCCGTGAAGTCGCCAGATCTGATGTGTCAGCTTGGGAGCGTCTCTGGCTCCGGCGCACGGTTCCACCGCCGGTGAGTGGCCTGCTGCAGCTCTCCAGGCAGCTCACAGACCTCTGGTTGTTTTTTAGGGAGGATGTACAGGGATTTTTACTAACGTCAGGTTGTGATTTTTGCTTGTGAAGCAGCACAAGCTGCACTGCAGACAGGACTATGTTATTTCCTTGGTAGGCTGCCTTTTCCCCCCCGCCCATCCTCAGCTGCACATGCCCCCGCTTCCCCCAGGAGCCACCCGTTGGCATGTCACCCACCACTCTGACGAATATCCTCCTCTGATAATTTCTACTGTTGAGTGCTGGCCCTACTAGAAACTTTGTATTATTTCCACTGAGTAATATTTCTCTGACATTCGTAAAAACAGTGCTGGAGGAAAACAGTTGTATTTGCCTATTGTATCTTCCTTATGGTTTGACTTGAAACCAACATAAATGCAGCACTTGTGTTATGTCTGGAAGGCTTGGCCAGCAAAATAAAGACAAAATTTAAAATCGGCATGGAATTCAATTTGTTCTGTGCTGTAGGAGGCACGAAAATGATGGAGGACTCATGAGAAGAGCCTGTCCAGCTAGACTGCAGCTCTGTCCCTCCTGCCCCCAAGCATCTTGTCTCTTCAAGCAGCTCTGTCAAGCCCCACAGCGCAGTACCAGCATGTGGTCCATTGTTGCGCGTTTGCGTTTCATTTCTGAGCTGCAGAGACACACATGGGTGTGTTTGAACAGCTGGGGAAGAGACTTGTCTCTTTTAAACAAAATCCTTTTGCTTTACCCACATTCAATATGTTGCCTTTTTTTTTTTTCTTTCTTTTTTTTTTTTTCTGAAATGGATGCTGCTTTATCTTTCTTTCCAGTCCCATGCTGCTAGCATCAAAGACCTCTCAGAGCCACCAGGCTAGAAGGTGCTTCAGCAGAGATCTTCACTTTCAAAGTGTTTTAAGATCCTGTTGTACCTCTGCCAGTGGTAGAAAGTGGGTGCTAGTAGATGTTAATTTGCTTGGCTACGCATAGTAAAAGTGAGCTCAGCACCAGCTCCGTGGAAAGTAAGTCCTCCTGTGATGAAAAAAAGTCCTCCTGTGTAGCACCTGTGGTGATTGGGCACCTGTCAAACCAAAGCCTGCTGCTGTGCAGCTGCTGCTGGCACTAGATGGGGGGCCCTGACTTGCTCCCCAGCCCGCTCATCTGCCTCTGCCTCGGTGTCGCCGAGATCCGGCTTGGTGCCTCCTGTTGGCAGCATCATGGTCTGGTTGTGCTCGTGCACGTTCCCTCTGGCAACTCGTTGCCTTCCTGTGTTCCCAGGGTTGCTGTGGAAGTGGTGACCACGATGACTTCGGCTGACGTGATGTGGCAGGACGGCACCGTGGAGACAAACATTCGCTCCAACGAGCTGATTCCAGTCCATCATCTGGACAACAACGAGTTCTGCCCTGGGGATTTTGTGGTGGACAAAAGAGGTATTGGGTGTCAAAACAGTGCTCTTCTCAGGGGACAAACATGCTCTTAATTGCAAAGTAGTCTTCAATCTGGATCCCTTAGCGTGTGTTGTAGCCGTTTCTGTGGTGGCTGTTAGTAGTGCTCACTTGAGGTAGGTGCAAGAGCCTAACAGGGAACCAACAGTGGTTCGCCTGACTTAACACGAATGTCAGCAGAGAACCATTATTTAAATACCAAAGTTGAGCTATGACAGCAGGCAAGATGTGGAAGGAATAAATGCTGTGGAGCAAAGCTAGGATTCTCAGTATTTCTGTAGAGTAGAGGTGGCCCGCCTTCCCCTTGAAAGTGCAAACGGCTCTGTGCTCTCTCACAGAAGAAGGAAGAAATGAACAGCTTGCCTCAGGCTGCCTTCTCTGTATGGCTTATCTATCCGTTTTTCTTGGAGGATTTTGGGACCCAGAAGCATCTTCTTGCATCCTTTTTCTTCACCAAACCAATCGGCGATGCTAGGGAGGGTCATGGTACAAGTTCAAGGAGACTTAGAGCTTTTGCACATGAAATATTGATGGCACACCATCTGGCTCTCAGCTCCTTTTCTAGCAGGCTTAGACCCTCCGGAGTGGGAAGCAACAAGATATGGTCAGCTTGGGAAGAGGGAAAACTGGTTTGACAAAAAAAGATGCAGTTTTGCGAGGGCATTTCTGATGAGTAGTAGTCTGACCAGTCTTGTGGGTTAGTTTGGCCTCTGGGAATTTATTCCTCTGTCAAACATACTCTCTGAGCAGTCTGAGATGCCTGCAGTTCCTTGCATCCCTCTGCTAAGGATGCCAGGAGGTGGATCCTTGTCAGCCAGATAAATCTGAAAGATGTCTGGATACCAGTGTGCTGGGGAACAGCCCAGGCCCAGCTTCGATGCTGTTGGATCCCTGACGCATGCGTACATACACACTTATGTTCCTGCCTGCCTTCTGCCTTCAGTTGTTCAGTTCAGTTTTCCAGAGGAACAAAACCAGTGAGCTTGGCAGTCAGGGTTATGCTCAGGTTGCTCTTGGCCAGCCTGTCCAGAAACTCTGACAGTTTTGGTGCAGAGCTAATTTGGAGAGCAGAGCACTGAGGTGACAGCGTGTTTTCTCTCAGTGACAAAGCTCAAAAGCAGTCCAATGCACCATAATATTACTTTATCATCACTCTGTGCCCCAATAAAGTGCAGCTCATTAGCTGAGTACAATTGTAAGCGTGTAGGAAGAACTGTTTTTCCTTATGCCATTCACTAAAGGAAGGTTTGAGCCATGAGAGCCTGGGAGCTGACAGCCTCAGCTGCTGCGCGAAGCCTGCTCTCCTCCACTTAACTTGTCTGTTTTCCTTCCTGCTGTTGCGACCAAAAGCTCAGAGCTCCCAGGACCCCGGGTTGTACGGAGTCGTGCAGTCTGGTGACCATATTGGCCGTACCTGTGTGGTGAAGTGGTTCAAGTTGAAATCCAGCGGAGATGATGTGGAGGTAAGTCCAGGAGCCAGCACCTGTTGGAACCAGCTGAGAGAACACGGCCACAAAACAGCACGAGCTTCACAAATACGCACAGATAAGCCTGGGAGTCGGCTCTCCAGTGCAGTTTGTCCTTGAGGATGGAACAGCAATATGCTTTTGGGCCTGGGAGGCTTAGCTGGAGGTGTTGTCGCTTCACATTTGTAGATGCCTGCAAGGCAGCAGAGACCAAGCAGAGGGTTTACATCCCATAGTCAGCATCAGACTCTGGTACTGATGGAGGTTTTGCTGCAGTTGTCACAGACAGTTGATTTCTTGAGTTCACTATGAGAATTTTTTCTTCTCCCTTTTTTGTTGGCTTATAGAGAACCAGTCTCTTACGTGTTACCCTGCTTGCCTCTGCCAGGCACTGTTGCTTACAGCCAGCCCAATGCCTTTTTCTCGGGGCTTGTGGGAGCGCTGCGTTTTGCAGAGCCTTGGTACGCTACAGCCTGGCTGCGGATGAGAGGGGGACTCAAGCCACACCAGCCTGTTTCTGCCTTAGGGCGGGAGATCACGTTGTTGTAGCTGAGCAGAGCCTTTTACATCCAGAAGCAGAACATGGCTCTGGCCTCGGGCTGTGCTCCGTTTGACCTGTTTCTCATTATTTGTGGGCTCCTAGCTCTCTTCCTCCAGGAGAAATCAAAGGAAAGATATGTTTCCCGTTAATTGACAGGTTTTTTTGGTCAGATGCTTCCTGTTGCCTCGGATCACTTCAAAAGTAAACCCTTTAGGCCCCAATGAACTGCTTTGAGGAATCTGAGTGTTCCGAAGGGAATAAAGTGTTGTTCTTGCATGTCTCATGATCCTAGTGATGTGGAACCTGAAGTAAAGGTGAGGGTGAGCAGGTGAGATGGAGTATCTGGTTCCTGTGCCTCGATTGATGTGCTGCAGGGTGAGGTGACAAGACAGGACGTTAGCAGCTACTTGTGGGCTGTTGGAGCCACTGAAAATTGGCAAAATGTAACACAAAGTACTTTTAAGCATTGGAGGTGTGCTCTGAAGGTCAGTGCAGCATCCTGGGGCTGACATGTTTGCGTTCTGTCTCCGATGCAGCTGATCGGGGAGGAGGAGGACGTGAGCGTGTATGATATTGCTGATCACCCAGACTTCCGCTTCCGCACTACTGACATTGTGATTCGCATCGGCAACTCAGATGGAGCTGCAGCCAGGGAAGACGAGGTAGGTTGTGGGCAGTTATGTGGCTGTGTTGTCACCAGGTATTAGTGGAGACACTTGAAAGAGACCGTAGAAGGGCCCTAGACTCCCCCTGGGTATCCTAAACAACTCGTCTTGCTAGTTCTGTGTCAGTGTCCGCTGCTGTCATGAGTAACTTGGAATCTCTGAAGTCTGGTGGAGATGTAACCTTGAAGTCCTTTGACCTTGGTGACAGAGTCTATAGCAGAGAAGGAGCCAAGTTGAGAGAGGAATCAAACGTATGCCTGAGAGTTTTTGATAAAACTCTTGCTTAAGATTTCAGAGCAACTTCTAATATGAGGATATTCTGTTTACTCCTGAGCAAGAGTGAAGGTGGATTTGTCATTAAACCAGTTTCACTTGGCAACAGTAGACTGAGGTTCTGGTTTTCGTCCAAGTTATTATGTACGTGTTAATTCTATTGAGCTGGTTGATCTCCTGGGGAGGAAGAGGGAACAATTTACATGGTAGAGGATACGCTCTTTGCCAGGAAACAGGCTTCCTTACTGTGCAGGGAACACCTCCAGCTTTTGAGACTGCTGCCCTAAGAAAGGGTTAAAAGGTATAGTGTGGCTCTCATGGCGGTTCTGGTTTCAGCAGCAGCATCGAGAAACACATCCGAGCTTGCTCAGCTGACCTAAATAACCTTCCAGGGCAAGATCCTACTTAGGGTGCACGCCCTGTGCCAGCCAGGACTTGTCTATTGAGGCCAGGGACGTGGGGTGCACGATGACACCCCACTAGAGGGCAGCCCTATGCCGGGGAAGTTCCCGTCCCCTTGCTGGCACAGCCCCAGCCCCGCAGTGCTCCTACTCCTCATCAGAAGTCAGGATCTGCTGCCAGAGCAGCCCTCCTGGTCCCCTGCTCCTTCCAGGAGGGGAGGTACTGGCTCGCTCTCTGTGGCAGTGGTGTGGGGTTTCTCTTGGAAACCCTACCTGGGGGATTCTTCTCCCCTCTGCTGTGGGACCCTGGGACTCCTGCCACTTCTGCAATCATTGCTTTAGGTGGGTCTCCAACCTGCTTCTCAGAACCTTCCTTCTGCACTGAAACGCCTGGGAAAGAGAAGGGATTGACAAACTGCTCTTGTTTCCACAGCCGTCGGTCGGACAAGTGGCTCGTGTGGATGTCAGCAGTAAGGTGGAAGTGGTGTGGGCCGATAACTCCAAGACTATCATTCTGCCTCAGGTGAGATCTCGTTCCAGCTCGCGATACCCCTGTAGTTCTTGGCTGCCTGACAAGTCTTGGTTTTAAATCCTGGGTGCAGAGAGATTCAGTGTGTAAGGGAGTCTTGCGCTATTTATCACTGCCTTCCCTTACAATAGGGTGGCTTCCCGCTTCTGTTAGCACAAGTAAATCCCTCTTTTGTCAGGAGAACTGATCAACTAATTGATCGTCGCTGCTCTTGAGAATAGCAAAGTAGGGACAGCCTCTTGCTCCTTTCGCAGGCTGTGCTGCGTGTTCCCAGCTCTGACCACAGCCCTGGCTCCTGGCCTCCTGCGCCTGCTGCTTTGAAGGAGGCATTGCAGAGCTCACTTCTGATTTGAGCCCAGGTTCACTGCATTGCCCAGCTTGGACACTACTGAAAGACAATTTGCTCGTTCTGTCTTACTTGTGAAGCAGCCTCATAGTGTTTTCTTTGGCTAAAGAAGCTCGTCCAGAAGCTGGACTTGGAGCCACAATTTGTCACCTTAGCCAGCCTAGGGATCAGACCCAAATCTCTTCCAGAGCAGGGAGGGAAAGGGGTTGAGTGCAAGCTTAAAAACACAGCTATGACCACACTACTAATCGCCTTAACCCCACCGATTTGTCTTCTGCGTTGTTCTAAGGTTTTCGTTGTACTGTCTCGTAACCTTTATTCACTGCTCCACATACAGTTTCATCCCATGTCTTTTCTCCTTGTTGCCTCAAACTAAGGCCGACAGCCTAAAGATAGGAGAACACCTGCTTCTGTAGGGTCCCATCTCCATCACTGTGGCGGTGAACGCGGCTGCCTCCGCCGCAGAGACGCCTTTGCGAGCAGAAAGTGCTCGATCGAGATTTCTTTTTAAACTGAGCAGCTCTGCATTAATTACAGTAGAATAGTCAATGCCCGCACTATGGCAGTGGACTAGAGTGTTACAAAGCAGGCTGCTGTCTCCCTTCCCCCTGTTGTCACATGTGCTCGGATCACAGGCACAATCGGAGGTCTGATGCGCGCTCCACAAAGGGCTGCTCTCACGCTGCGGTGCTGGGGCTCTGCAGCAGCTCCTGCTGTGTCACGCCAGTCCCTTCGATTCTGCTTGTCTGCGTAATTATGGGAGTTGGGGAAATGTCAGGAGCATGAATTATCAGTTGGTAAAACTGTGATTTATCAATGCCTGTCCGTGTGCCCAGAGACAAGCTGTCTGGGTCTTTTTCTCGTCTCTAAAAATAAAGATGGCATAACTGGCTAATTAACTTTCCAACTCAGATTTGGATTAGCTTTGAGGGCAGTGAGTTTTGATGGCTTTTCCTGCCTCCAGTCACTTATGTTGAACCCAGCTAACCTCTGCCTGCTGCCTGTCTCTGGGTGGCACAGGTCTGGCTAAACAGTGCTGGTTTGGTTAAAGGCTTTGACAGGATGACTGAGTGTCCATACACTTTTACCCTCTGGGGTCATATCTTGCAAGATTAAGAGAATTCTTGGGCCATCATTCAAGTGTCAGAAGCCTGTGGATAAAATGTTCTGTCATGTAGCTTCTGATACAGCCCCATAAAGTCCTTCTGGCTCCCCTGCTTCTCTGTTGGTGCTCGTAGCTGGAGTATGTCTGTAAGCCTCTACAGGGGGACTTTGTGAGAGATGTAACATGTGCAAAAGCGTGATTCTAAGAGGTGAGGCTAGACAGAGCGTGGGTGAGTTCTGTAGCTTCCTGTAGTGAAGGAGAGGGAACGTTTTATGTAAGAGCTTATTCAGCAGCTTGGGTTTAGGCTTCATTGTCCTGGTTGAATTTGAAGCAGTAGCGACATACAACAGCTAAAGCAGCATAGCAAGGCTCTGACGGTGAGTAGCGTGTGCCACAGAAGAAGAAAGCTGGTATGGGAATGTCTTCCTGGTTCCAGCATTGTCTCTGGAAGGACAGAGCGTGGAGGCAGCCAACCTAGGGCTCTGTGCCAACACAGTTGCTGGTGCAGAAGCAGGACCAGAAATACGAACTCCGCACAGGATACGCTACACCTTCTGAACCAGCTCTGCCTGTGGAAACCCTGGGGCATCCAGGGACCTGTTTGGTGCCTGCGTGCTCTCCTTGGTGGCTGGATTCCTCCAAGAACTTGCCCTAGTTTTCACCCAGTGCCCTGCTTTGAAAGGTGGAGGATGGGGCTATGCTGATTCATAGTCTGTGCTGGTCATTGATGAGCTTGTTATTTGGATCAAACACTTGTTATTTGGATCAAACATTTGGATCAAGCCCTGTTATAGGTGGCATTGAAACAGCCCAGCAAATTCAGCCTGGGAGCTCCCTTTTCGTGGGGAGGACTGACTTGCCTGTGTTGAAAAGACAACTAAAACTGAGTGCTTCAGCCTAACTACTCTGCTGTCTTTTGTAACTCTCCTCTCCTTTAGCACTTATACAATATTGAATCGGAGATTGAGGAGTCGGACTACGATTCTGTTGACGGCAGCACCAGCGGGGCATCCTCCGAGTGGGAGGATGAAAGCGACAGCTGGGAGACAGACAATGGCCTCATGGAAGACGACCACCCAAAAATTGAGGAGTTAGAGCCTGAGGAGCCAGCAGCAGAGGAGGTGAAAAAAGTAGAGGAACAAGTCCAGGGAGCTGTGGCTATGGCAGTTGCAGATCTTGCTGCAGAGAAAGCTGGCAAGGATGGAGCCCCAAAGAGCTTCCGGGAACTAAAAGAGGCCATCAAGATCTTGGAAAGCCTGAAAAATATGACTGTGGAGCAGCTGCTGACTGGCTCTCCCACCTCCCCGACTGTGGAGCTGGAAAAACCCACTCGGGAGAAGAAGTTCTTGGACGATATTAAAAAGCTGCAGGAAAATCTAAAGAAGACCTTGGATAATGTGGCTATTGCAGAGGAGGAAAAGATGGAAGCCATGGTGGAGACAGAGAAGAAAGAAGAAAAAGCAGAGGCACAGACACCAGTGAGGTCAGAGTGGCCCAGTGAGACACCAGTGCTCTGCCAGCAGAGTGGAGGCAAGCCTGGAGTCACCTTCACCAGTGCCAAGGGAGAAGTCTTCTCTGTGCTGGAGTATGCCCCAGGTGAGTGTGTCGGATCAGACCAGTGCGGGATTCCGCGTCCTTCCTCGGTGTCCTGCTGTATTTCTTTCTCCGAGACCTTTCCTTCTCAGCCTTTTGGATTGGCTGTCCTCTTCTTCCTAGTCCTTTTTGCAGCTTGTTCACTGGGGAGGAGTGTAGCACAATCTACTCAGGGACTTCAGCCTGACTTCTCCTTGGCATCTCTCAAGCCGGAGAAGCGGACTTCCCCTTTGCCTGTGTTGGTCTCTGGAGGGCTGCGGACATCAGTCGCTCTCCACTGCAGATGCTTTCTTGAAAGCTACAGGGTTTGTTCAGGCGTTTCTGCAGAGATGGATCAGTTGAGAGGCAGAGCAGGAACACCTGGTGTTCTTGTGCTGGGTGTCCTCAGTGGGTGAGTGTCCTTGTTCACTTGCACCGATGTTAATCAGCCAAAAATAAATAAAAAAGAGCATCTGGTTGTGAGGAACATTGGTGACAGCAGAGCCCGAGGTGCTCAGTGAGCTGGCTGGCTGGGCCAGGCCCAAGAAGGAAAGGTGGCCAAGCTGTTCTGCACCTGCAGGTGTGAACGGTAACGCTGGGGAGCTGTGCTCAGGCGTTGCAGAGAAAGGGTCATCACTGCACCGTGCTGTGGGACAGAGCTCCTCGTGGGGTTACAGGGACACTGGGAGCAGGAGGGGCCGGTTGTGGCTGCACTGCAGTGTGGGAAAAAAAACAGATCATGTCTAGGCTGCCTCTTGACTCAGCACCAAAGCAAGTCAGCCCTTCTCTTCCAGATGATACGTTTAACACCTGGATAGACTTGCCTTCAAAAGGAACCTGTGGCAGTTTCCAAAAGCAGGTTTTGATTCCGTTCTCCTCCTTGCCCCACAGATACCCATGCCTTCAAGAAAATGGAATTCCAGCCCCCAGAAGCAAAGAAGTTCTTTAGCACTGTGAGGAAGGAGATGGCTCTCCTGGCCACCTCCCTGCCCGATGGCATCATGGTTAAAACCTTCGAGGATCGAATGGCAAGTGCCCGCTCACAAATGCCTGTGTGTTAGTGCTGGCCTCAGCATCCGCGTCGCTTCCGTTGGAATTCCCTGCTTAGCCTTAATCCCTTGCATTAGAGCTGTGGGAATGTGTGCAGCCTGTGAAATGTGGCTCTAATTACCGTAAACGGCTCCTTTTGGATCCCCGGAGTCAGGCTGGCAAACAGCGGGGGGCGAGAAGCCTATTTTGGGCGCTGGGCCCACCAAGCGGCCTGTCCCGCTGAGCAGGAAGGGC